TATATATATATACATACATATACATACGTACAAACGCACACACACTCACACACACTCATACACATACACACACACAGACACACACACATATCACACACCCCAAATACACACACAAACACGCACACTCCTACATTCCCCCTACCTATAACACACATACACTTAATGCACAAACGCATAAACAAAATAATCGTTGGATGCACACACAAAAGTCAGTTAATTCTCGCAGAGATGACAATGGTTGAACAGTTCATATTGGTGATGGTATGAACGAAAGAAAGAGAGAACGGGGAGAGAGAGATTCCGTTTTCTTTTTTATCTCTTGTCCAATCATAACGAAATTATATCTCCTGGTTAGTACAACTGAGATGTATTGTTTTGCCTTATTTCTGTGTGCTTTTCAATAATTTACGTATTAGGCATTATTAAAACTTTCTTTAAATTTTGCAGACAAGTAAAGACTAGTGCATTCTTTAATTGCTAGAGGCTATACGTTCTTATACTAACTCTCTGACCGTCTAGATTAGAGGTACTATAAATGTGATTTTGTCTTCCTCTCCCCAGTGGGTCACAAGGAGAGAGAAACACACACAATAAAGTACAATTGGTTATGTAACAACAGGGCTACGTGGGTAGTTGGTGGGTGATCTGGTGTGGTCTGCTCCTTCTTTCTTATTAAACATATTTCGTCCTTATCTTTCCTCCTTCTATTTTATGTATTGTGTAACACTTCTAGTCCTCTGCACATATTTGACCTAATTTGTGCTGCAAGTGCCGCAAGGCGCTTATTAAAACTAAACAATGCTATGCAAATGTGTTGGTGCCTTGAGAACATAATGTGTATCTCGTCTATTTTCACGTTCTTTCATTGTAACATCGTATTAATTTCTTGTGTTTTCAGGGCTTTTTTCTTCGCAGTTTGGCGCGAACTGAGCCTTACGCCTGCATAGGAACTGGCCACTGTAATATTGGACCAGAGACAAAGCGGAGGAAAAGCTGTCAGAAATGTCGCTACGACAAATGCCTTAGGCTCGGGATGTCCAAAGATGGTGTGTGCCTTTTTATGTGTAAATCACGTACTATTATTATAACAGTCGGTTGTAGTCTGTGAATTTTGCCGTTTTAAGGTTTTTTGGTAACTTATTGTATTTCTAATTGATACTAAATGGGCGACATTATATCTAAATGTCAGTTTGTAGCTGCATTTACAGTTTGAACAGAGATGGTTTGCATATTTTAAGAATAGACTAAAACCTACTATTCAATATATAAGGCTATAGGTATTTAAATGCGTGAAGTCATCAGATGCGTTTCCGAAGTCATAGTAGAGGAATAATGTACACATCACGGTCGAAGTAGTTGCTTCAGGATCCATGTTATTGATAATATTTCCCTGAACCTTTAAAGTCAAGGCAATGTTGACCTCTCATATGAAAGAGACATTTCGAGACAATGCTCTCAAATAGTGAGTTTCCACTAATCGACTCCTTTTAAGTATGTGAGCTGTGCCTTTCTCCTCGGTTGGAAGAGCAGATGCATAGGCATTGTATTGAGTAATATAAGTAATACAAAAGATGTGCTGTAAATGCTTTGGCCCGGGTCGGTGTCCAAATAGCCCCCCTCCCTCCGCCATTTCACATTGACCTGGTCAATTTACCTCTGCTTCTAGAGAAAAATAGGACAAGGTTTCCCGGTGGTCTAAGCTAAAGAATTTGAAAAAAGGATTTTTTAAAAACTAAAAGAAAAAAAACACCATCTGCTCAACGTTTGGGCCAGGTTAAGAAGAATCGGTACTACAAAATATGCAGTGTCATTTTTAGTAAGTGCTCTAACAAAGAGAATTCCCCGTTTGTCCGTCTACTTTGTTATTTTTGCAAATTGGCTCAAATCACAGAGACTCAGGTAGGGATCTCATATTAATGAAAACAATGCTCTTTACCTAAATATCGATCACGCTCTTGTATAATCTACCGACCTAAGCCTTATGAACAGAATGTTTTCAAGGAATACAGTTTCTCTTTTGCAATGGGGAAAATGAATACGGGGATGCATATACTAGAAGTCATTGCGAAATGACTTAGCGTCGGTGGTCCAGTGGTCAGGCTGTCAAACTCACTAATGAAAGGTCGTGAGTTCGAATCCGCCAAGGGCACGGCGTTTTGTCCTTGGGAAAAGAATTTTGTACATATTTTCCTCACTTCACTCACGTGGGAAAGGTGACCGGCTGTAGACAGCGAAAGATGTTGTGTTTGTTAGTGTTTTAGCGCTTATTATGCGCAGTTTGTACTGCATGCTTCGCGGGAAACCAAGAATGTTTCTGAATGTTCTTCGGTCGACTAGGTTAATAATAGTCGTAAAGCGCATACTGCATCCTGTAGAGCACAGATATGGGCTTCATAAATGCCGTTATAACTTATTATTAATAGTAGTAGTAGTAGTAGTAGTAGTAATAGTAGTAGTAGTAATAGTGGTAGTAGTAGTAGTAGTAGTAGTAGTAGTAGTAGTAGTAGTAGTAGTAGTAGTAGTGGTAGTGGTAGTAGTAGTAGTAGTAGTAGTAGTAGTAGTAGTAGTTGTTGTTGTAGTTGTAGTAGTTGTAGTAGTAGTAGTAGTAGTAGTAGCAGCAGCAGCTCGCAATAAATAATTAGATGTTATTATTATTTTGTTTGTTAGGTATTATTCATACATTTTATTTTTATTCTCCCCAAAGTCTCGTTGTAGTGCACACTCTGATATTGGGTAGCCTAGTGGTTAGGCTGCCGAACTCGTAATCGTGAGATTGCGGGTTCGGGAGTTCGAGCCTCAGCTCGGTACGACGTTGTGTCCTTGGGAAAGGCACTTAACTCGAATTTCCCATTTGGCCCGGTCCTTTCGGAGATGGGCGTTAAACTCGGAGGCCCCGCCTCTTAAATGACTTAATAGGGTTGATAGGGGCGCTAGACCTGTACCATTTCACCATTTATTTCTCTGATATCGTTACTGTTATTAGTTAGTGTAGATACGTGTATCATTGATTCTATCAACAGTATTCAAATGTAATGATTCCATTTACTTGTTTGTTTTTCAGCAATCAAAATTGGACGCTACACGTACTCCAAGCGTACTCAAGACACGATAGAGCTAAACAAAATACGTGGGGGTAAAAGTTTGACTCAGGTTGAGAACAATAGGGCCTCTAAATTCTTGGGAGGCGATGACTCCGGGAGTGGGAGTGATGGAGGAAAAGGGAGTGAGCTGTCGTTTAGTGCTCGTCAAGATCACGACTCACCCAGTAGGGTGAAGAGCATCCTCTCGAGTGGCTGTTATGAGAAAAGAAATGAAGGGCAGTCACCCCTAATGAGACGACATGGAACCTTTGTCGACAGTGATTTTGGAAAGGAAACACATGGCAAAAGAATAAAACAGTGTTTTGAGAGTGGTGTGAATTTTGAGAAACTACTTGAAAGTCCGAAAGTTTCAGCGTGTTCTCAAGACTTCACCTCTGATGGTCGCGATCTGTCTACTTTCCTTACCAACGGAAACGGCCATGACCTACTAGGTTTGCTTTCGTCGAAACAATCAGAATTTGCTCAAAGTTGTCGTTCTACGGAAGACAGCGACCTCTGGGACAAAGGCTGCAACCAACATCCGATTAACCTAGGTATCACTCCTACAGAGTGCCACATGGCTGCCCAGAGCCGGTCTCCTTTGCTGGGGGAGCCGTCGAGGACCACGGCTGGGGTGACTGGTTCACCGTCGTTGGATCTTGAAAACATTTTTAAAACAACCCACAGTTTTGGACCTTTGTCGTCACTCTTACAAAACCCAGGTTCCATCAAGGGGGCAGAGCAGAGTGTGAGATCGCCAAACGAGCCCTTCGGAAACTACGGATGTGCTATCGACCCCAGTACACGTCCATCCAGTGACAACGCCCATTTCAATCATCCTGCATCCATATCGGGCAGAGCTCAAAATGAATTGGAATCTCGGTTTAATTCTGGAGACACTTTTAAGTCAAACGAGCTCTGCCCTAATAGACTCGATTTGACCAGTGTTAGTTCCGGCATTAATTTAGGGACCAAGAAAACTGCTAGGGCCTGCTACACTAACAGAATGTTTCAGGAAAATCAAGAACTGGTTCAAAGCAATGCAGATGACCTCCTTCCCTTATCACGTGTCCTTTCAGAGTCTATCGCTGGTGGACAAGACATTTTTTCTGACCACGCTCCAATTGACTCAAAATTGAGCCCAGCCACTGCTGGTTTCTTAGAAGACATCTCAGATTGTGGCGAGAATGACCATTCGGTAAATGTACTTTTTGGCCAAAAGCCCATGGCTGCCAAGTTCACTTTGCCGTCGTTTCTCTTACAGTCGTTGTCAGAAAAGGGTATCTCATTGGTTGAAATTGGTTCCGGTGTTCGTTTGCTCGAAGTCCTCGAGAACGAGTTGAAACAGGAGGCGTTCAGCGGCAAAGAGTTTCAGCCTTTGTCACAGCTTATCAACGCTTATAAACTTAGCGGTCAGTGTGAAGATGTCAGCGTTGAGATTGGACCATCGATTTACTGCGAATCAAAAGCAGCTGGAGCCGGGAAAAATTTGACCTACGACGGGGCTCGAAACTTTGGAGCTCAAGGGCAAATCAAGCAAGACATAAGTGGTTTTCCAAGCGTTGACGATTTCATCGGTTCAGAAGATTTTGACGATGATGTCATCAAAGACATGGGAAAGGTTCAAGAGGTTATAAAGCTTTACGAGGAGAGAAAGAGGGCCTTCATCAACACCGGGAAATGGGCGCTGGGTCTGGACAACGATCATGACTCCGGGT